TAGCAATAAGATCTCTACTATCGTTTTTTTCTGTTTTTCATTTCAAAACGTCTCAAAGTTAACAACATTTTAAAATAACTCATAGAGAAATTTCAGTCGCCGCCGTGAAAATAATAGGGCAAAATATTGACATTCGATTCTCTTTAGTAAACACATGTTGAAACATTAATTGTTTTATTAGCTTATAGGAAATTTTTCTTCTTCCGAATTGTATATGACTTGGTTTTGTAATACATTTATAAACAAAACAATAGAAGAAAGAAGAGAAGCACACGCTCAATGGATTTGTAATTTTTTATGTATGATTGATCTTGTAAATCAACTGAAAATCAGATTTTAAGCTACCAGCAAGTATACCAGTGCCTTTTACATTATTATTTGAGTCGCTAGGGGTAATACTATTGATTTGCCGCAGCATGGCTTCCACTTAACTTAAAATAGCTTTCGCCACTAATATAACATTACAATCATGAGGATTCGTTTTATACAAGTTTTCAGCGTTTTTCTTGAGCTTTATGATTCATTTTTTAAGCATTTTGACGTTTTCTAATAATAACCAATGTTCTCTTCCATAGGTTATAACTAACGATTAATTGATTTAATGTTGCAAGGCTTGGCTAATTTATGTTGATTGATATCACAACGATTATTAAAACATTTTATTAGTTATTTTAATTTTTGATTCGAAAGTTTTATTCGACGACCAATTCTCGGTAAAAAATCGATTTATCCATATTTCAAATATTTATTCAATATCTTATAAATTACTCTTCTCGAAATACCTTGTTTTATAAAATTATGAATAATCATTTTGAAAGATTGATTTAATGAAATCAATATAAAACTACAGATTCATTGACGAGTGTTTCTTTTTCTTACCCTATCATTTTGTTTATGAATGTATAACAAAATCAAGTCATATACAATTTGAAAGAAGAAAACTTTCCTATCAACTGATACAAAAAAGCTAATAGTTTCTACATGTATGTATTAAAGCAAAATAGGCGTTGATATATTGTTCTGTTATTCTGAATTACATAAGAAAAGAACAGACTCGTTTTTAAAGGTGGTTCTCTTTTCTCTTGTGTCATTTCGTATATAAACGTATGATAAAAGTAAGTTACATGCGATTCAACAGAGAAAAATTTTTTTTTTGTTTCCGCAGCCCTCCATTAAAAAGAAATAGGAGCTGACATTTGCCTCATTGCTTTTTCATCTCACGTTAATCAGAAGTGCTTTCATATATATATATAAATATAATTAAATCAAATTTCTTATATCTGTAAAGACACAAAAAAAAATACATTAATATTTTCATTTTGAACATTTACACACACATGTAATTCAATATTATTCAAATAAAATAAAATAAAATCTTATTATCAATAATGTTTATCATGAAAGAATTTCAAAAAAAAAAAAGTCAAACTTGAATACAAAATAAAAATCAATGGAAACTATATTATCATATAGAAATTAATTATCTTTTATCCAATATTATATATTCAGTTGCTCATTTCACGACAATCAAGCACCATTTGACGAAACCTATCAGCCGAATTCGTACGTGTTGTTGAATTTTCTCGAGTTTTAGTCGATTTTGTTGTATTCGTAGTAGTCGTCGTCAATGATGGATATTTTTTCAATAGATCTTGTTGTTTAATTGAACCCAAACGAACTAATACAGGTGTATTGGACTTCGAAATTGTTGTTGTTGTTGATGGTGGTGGTACCGTGGAAACTTTTCGATCAATTGATAAACGCGGTTTTGTTGTTGCCAATGGATCAGTTGCAAATGCACGCAAAGGTCCATTTGAAGGAGTAGTTTTTGTTGTTATTCCATCTAATGATGATCGAGGACTTTGAATCGAACTAGTTAATGAACTTGCTGATGAACGACGACTAGTATCATGTGTTGATGTTTGTCTATGGAAACTAATATTCAATTTAATTTAAAAACAAAACAAAAAAAAAATAAGAAATTTTAATTTTTTACTTTTGTGAAGAACTCGAATTGTCTAGTGGATCTTGTGTATTCGTAGTATGAAATATTTCTTTTTCAAGTCGATTACGTTCATCTCTAAGTTCTAAATGTAATGAAATAAGAATTATATTCATACTGATATAGAAGGATGAACTAGAACTTTTGAATATAGCTCGGGTTATTAAAAAAATTGCGAACCTCTTTATTTTTTTTATAAAGTCAATCTGATAACATTAAATAACTCCGGTCACAAAATAGCAGCCCATTGTGTTTCTAATTTGATTCTCTTACCAATATAGAAGTGCACAGGATTCAATAAATTGGAGTTTTCAAACTATTTGAGAACTTTAATAGTTATTTTTCTCGTTCATATGTTTCGAGCTTTGGAGAAGTTAAGAAACAACTTATATATAGCTCTACCAGGCGCCATCATCTTAGAAGTTTATGTACAATTCAGAAACGCAAGGAGATATATCTTTTCAATTATCTTGAAAGAAGTATAAAGTAATTCCGTTACTATTACAGAAGGGCTTCTCATTTTTATGAAATAGGTAATTCAGATCTTATGAATGTTTCAATAATGAATATTGTATTCATCTCATATTTGCCATTGTTTTTGGAGTTCGATAAAATTTCACATAATTTCAACAGACTATCATTCAGCCTTGTAAGAAGTCTCATTTTTCAGTTAAAGATTTGTTCATATTTCTATTAGCTTAATCAAAATTCACATCCTTTCATTTCTAGACTGTATATAATCCGACAACATGATGATGGCAAAACATGCATATTTCCTTTTTTCGTTACAATACATAATTGTTTTTATGATAAACAATTATCTACTTGCAACTGAACATGTCTTATATCATTACCTCCGAGAGTTGGTTCTCGTAAAAGACCTCTTGTTTTTGCACGATAATCTGCTTCTTCTTCTAATTTTTGCTAAATTAAAAAAAAACAATCAGAGAAAATAATAGAATAGAAAAAGAAAAAGAAATAAAGAAATCTTACATGTACATAAGTAACATGACTTTCAAGTGTTTTAATATCATCAGTAATTGCTTGTCTTAAACGTTGTATAATATCATCAATTGTAAAATCTTTTAATTTATTACGTACAGTATTTATATCAATATTTGATAGTGTTCGTGGTGAAAGAGAATTTATTTTTTTTGTTTCATCAATATTTGCAGCTGGTTCTGGAATAACTAACGTTGGTGTTTCTCGTCCATGACGATCACGTGCTGATACAGGTCGTTCACGTATACGACGTTCATCATCACCAGTACCTGTTACAAGTGCATAATTAATAGCATTCCAATTATGTCCATTTGATAAACGACGATGAAATATATTATCATCTTTTGCACATTGTTCATGAATATGTTTAGTAAAGAATTCGATTTCAGTTGTTAAACGTTTTCGTAGTGCAGGTGGTTCAGCTAAACTATGAAATGTTGGATCTGTACAATTGGCAACAGTTTCATTTCTAAATTTATAGAAATAATTGTTTTTTGTTATTAGATAAAAGACAAAAAAGAATTTATTCTTACCGATATTCTCGCCAGATGTCAAGTAAACTATCAATTTCGTTTTCAATTTCTTCACATTGTTCGATTAATGCTTGACCCAAATAAGATTTTACATAATCACGTTCAGCAGGATTTAAACTTGTTAAAAGTGTTTTCCATGTTGATATTGGTTTATCATAAGGAATATAGAAAGAAGAAGAATCGGTTTTTGGTATTGAATTCATACCATGAAATATTAATCTACAATTAAATTATGTAAATAGAGTTATGCTAATAACTGTATTAAATTATTATTATTTATGAAGATGTTTTTTCTTCGAGAAACGTAATACGTCTTCACAATTTTGTAGATTTCGAACGACGACATTTTCAGTGTTTAGGTAACTTCACAACACCTCCCTTTGAGTATCCCTTGTTTTTAACAGAGAGGTCGCTTTACAACGATTATTTAGAAAATAAAGTTTTAAAACTTGTTCTTTTACAATACATACAATATTATATTTATTCCTCATAATATTGATTGTCTAGTGAATTTATGTCTTTGATGTAATACAAAAATCCTCTTCACGGGACTGTGACATACTGATAAACTGACACACGTTGATAAATATAAGTTAATGACCATTTTCAATAATAGAACATAGTCACGAGTATTGATCAATCGTAAAATCTAATAAATCAAATAGTCCATATCCTCTGATATACGATTATTAAGAATGTATATCTATAATCTAAGGCGCGAAAGTTTTGATACAAATATTCATTTTTCAGTTATTTTCAAAATACGAAATAGATTTGAATCGCTCAGTTCTGTCTATTGTGTATGACAGATTTTCACACTTTTTGTATTTCTAAATATAGTTTTTGAAATAGACATTTTTTTTGCATCAATGCCAATTTCCATAGCATCTAGTTCTCTCTAGTGGAAATGTATAGACGAACTTTCGCGTATTTTAATATCTCATTTTGTACAGAATTTATTAATGGTGAAGTGAAGCTGTTCTAAGACAAAAGCTACATAAATTAAGGACTGCACGAAAACTGCTGTTTTGCTTTGAACAAACACAATTTTGGACTGTTTTTTACGAAACTACTCTGACAGTTATTCAATATTACTCCACAAGGGAAATCTAAATATATATATTCGGAAACAACGAAAAATTCTGCTTCTAATTAACTGCTTCTCACTCTAATCAGCTAAAAAAAAGAATGAATATTCTATGGCAAGACTTCCACTTCGTTAGTTACATAGAATAAAATAGTCTTCAAATTCCGTTGATTAATTCTTCAAAAGTTGAAGACTCCGATCTAGCTCATTTCAATCATGAAAACTGTTCATTATTCCGTTGTTGCCTTTTGTTATATTATTGCTAAAAGAATTTTGACAATATGTTTTTTATTAAAAAATCTTTTACAAGATTGACTTATTTATTTCTATGTAAAACAAATTGCCTAATTGAATTTGATGTTTGAAAATAAAAATCTTAAGGCATCAAATTCTTATTATTAAATAAATAATTAACCATATCATTTTGTGATCCATATAGCATGATATCTACATCGAGACACATTTTTTTTCGTATTTTATTCATAATTCCATTGCACATTTTTTTATGATAGTAATGTCTTAAACCAGGTTCAACCGTTCGATATATATAACATTTTGATGAAGGATGACTAAATCGATCGAATAAATTAACATCTTCCATACCCCAATCACGATTATGTGTTTCCCATCCACCAATTCTATCTAAATCTTGTTTACGTACAACAACATTTCCAAAACCATAAATAGAAAATAAACCATGTTTTGAATTAACATCAACTATTAAATTATTATCAACAACAGACATATTTGAAAAAAATGAAAATACAATTGGAAAATAGACTGTACAAGATGATATAGATAAGGGATGAATCATTAAACGACGAGTATTATCTAATGCTTGTCCAGTAAATAAAAGATCAACATCTAAAAAAAATAATAATTGATTATTAGTAAATAATTCTGTAGCTAAATAACGGCCAAGTCCACGATTATAAGAAATTTGATTTTGATTTTGATTAATAATTGATATACGAATAATTGATATATATTTGACCGATAATTCATTTATAAGATGAATCATTCGATTAGTTGTTTCATTTTTTTCAGAAAAATAAAGTATTGTTAATGTAAAATGTTCACGTCGAAATGAATCACTTAATACTTCACGTTCATAATTATTTATTAATCTTAATAATGGTTCATCTTTATTGCTTGAAACAACAATAAGATTTAATTGATAAATGTTTTCATCTATTTGAATATTATTTATTTCGCGATAATCAAAACGATGTTTAGTTGTAAATGGTTGATTTATACGAAGTCGTTTTACAATAGTAATAGCCTTAGTTGAATTTTTAGAAACTGGGTAAGCAGTTAGGCGAACTTCAACTATTACATTTAAACCGTATGATGGCTTTACACAATAATAACCGAACACGAATTTACCATTAGTTACTGTCCAATTAGAAGAATGTGTGTGCCAAATCATTTTTGTTTTCTCAATATATAATTTAACAGCTTGTTCAATGTATGATCTCCATCTTACATCAATCTTTTCATAAAATGCATCTTTTAAAGAATTGAATTCTGTATTCGATAGAAATGTTACATAAGTTTGTTTATTCATTGATTTTTTTAATGATTTATTATTTTTTAAATATTGTCTTTCTTGTTTTAGTCGTATATAAAAACTAAATATTTCTCGAAATGTATTTTGATTTTTAATTGGATGCATAATTAATGCTTGAGAAATAATTGAAGGTGTAAAATCATATCCAAATTCATATCCAGAGCCATAATGATGGTAAAATAAAGACTTTGCATTATAAGCTCTTACACAACCAACATGAACATGATTTAGTATACAACGACCTAATTCAACATCTTCATGTCGAGTACGAGTTTCATTATTTAAACACTGATCAAGCCATGGACCAAGTTGAATTAAAGTACTTTGAGAAAGTATAACCCCACTTCCACCCATACAAAAATACTAAAAATAAAAATGACTTTAATTAATTTAATTTAATTAATTACTTTTTCTGGTGGAAAAAGAATAGGTGGTCCATTTTGTCTTCCAGATCCACCCTGCCCTATATATAAAGTTTTTCTATGATCAATTGATTTAAGCCATTTAACAAGCTCTTCAATGTTAACATAAGCATTATCATCTAAACGTAATAACCATGATGTTCTTTGTCTATAAAATGCATAGATAAATTTCATAGCATAGAAACTTTTTTTTTGTGGTGGATAACTATTTTCAACATTTTTTAATTTAACAATATATAAACAACATTTAATATATTGATTTGTATTTTTATTTAACTGAAAAAAAATTTTTTCAATTGCTTCTTCTGTCATCAAAGATTTTTCTTCAATAAATACAATTATTTCAATATCAATTGTTGCTGTTAATATCCATGTATTAAGTATTGCAGGTAAATAAATTAATAAACGTTCGTATGATGAAATTATAGCTATAGTTAAAAATAATTGTGAATTTTCATTTTGACATGTTTGAGTTGTTCGATATTGAAAATGATGATAAAATGAATATTTTATTTGTGTAGTTGAAATTAACACTGGTGTACAAGGAAATCGAACAAATGTTTGCCAATAATATACCCCAAATACATAACCAATCATAGTAAAACATAAGAAAAATAAATAAAATTTGAATTCATTTATTGATATACGCGACATACATTGCTTTTTATTCATAAGAGTATTTAACAATTATTGTCAATCTTAAATTATATAGAAATACAAGTAATAACAATCATCGAGTTTGATTGTCTTTTATTTTTCAAATTGTTTGAGTTAGTCATCAAAAGTGTAACGTAATTAATTAATTATATGTTATAAATTGAGCACCTAAAAATGTTTTCTTCGCCATTTGGTTATTAGTTAAATAAAACTGATGATGACCTATGAAGATATTTACTGTATTTATTAATAATTGAGAATCATAAAAAAAAGAAAAAAATAATGATTATTTTTTTTTTGACAACTGCGAAAGACGAGGGAGGATCAAAGAATGGAAAAAAAAAGAGAAATTGAAAGGTGTCTCTGTTCAAAACATAAAGAGCACAAAAACGATTATTTATTCTTTGTAGAACGTATACTTATGAAAAATTCAAATTCAAAATTCTACTGCGAGAACATTTACCAATGTTCTCAAGGTGAAATAATATAATTCTTAAAACAAAAATAAAATTCGTTTTGTTTTTAAATAAATACTTAGCCATGCATTTATTTTCTATTAGTACCAAAAGAAGATAAATAAACAAAACGAAAAATATGCGCAGACCTTCATATGTCCATCATTCTACAGACATTTGCCTAGGATACAAAATGTAATTTTACATTAGCATGAGTTTATTTATCGAATAAAAGAAAAATGAAATGCAAACACAAGAAAAAAAAAAACATCAGTCGGTACTTGAAACCATTCTCTCACTACAGTATAATACAGCGAGAAAATGTAAAAGAAAAAAAAGATAATTTCAATGTACTCAGTCCAAAAATGCATACTGTATTTTTTTTTTGTTAACGCCCATTATTTTCGTTGGATTTTTTTAGCTGTATGTGTACGATATAATTGAAAACTAACCATACCACGCATACGTCTTGTATTATGTTCAATACCTGGTGCCCATGCATGACATGTAACACTTACAAGACGATTTAATGGTAACATATTAAATTGAACTAGAACAAATGGTTGAACATGATCTTTTGCATTTCTAAAAACAAAAAATCAAAATATTCAATTCTCTTCATGAGTTTTCATTTTTTTCTTCGGAAAAAAAGAAAGAAATTTTTACCGAAATGGAAAGAAATAATTTGGAATAACACCAAATTTTGATGAACCAAATGGATAAGTCAATGAATAATAAATTGCATCTGTGAGTACATCATTATCAGCAGGATACTATGTAATTAAGAATAAAACTCATTGATTTCCAGTGCGGATTACTTAAATTTATGCAGTACATAAGCGCAATGAAAACAAAAAAAAGGAAGAGAACATTATATTTACTTTAGGCCTTTTGACATACTTGATTATTTATGGTAGAATGATTATACAATTGAATAGATTGGCATACATACGAAATTCAAGTATCCGTTAAAAATGAACATCACGTATTTTTTAACTTCTAAGAGTAATCTATAGTTTAAACTATGGTTCTACAGTGATAAATTTTTTTTCTTGTTTTTTTAAATTAATTCCTGTATTTGCATAAATTATGTAAACATGAAATGAAAAGCATCAAAAATCACTTCTTTTTTTAAATAAAAAAAATTATTGCATTCAATGATTAGTCTTAATATTCGATAAGAAAAAAAATGTTGTTCAAGTATAAAATAAACAAAGTTATAACGTACCGCTCCTGCACATGTAATATATACATCAGAATTTGATATACTTTTATTACTAAAAACACCTCGAAGCTCTTGAATATGTAATGGCAAAATGCCTTTTATAGGTTTCCATCCATAAACCTAAATATAAAACAATTTCATAAATTTATTTTTGATTGTTAAAAAACAAAAAGAATTAATTATAATAATACTTTATTAAGTTTAATAAGAATGCATGGCTGTTCATAACTAAAACCATACAATTTATTATCCGAGCATGGATGATCGTCACTACTAACAATATGAAACCAATTAAATGAACAAGCTGTACCAGATGGTAAATTAGATGCTGGTGTTTCTTCTGAACATTCTTCGGTTTTAGCATCAGAACTTTGTAGAAGAAAAACATTTCGAAATAATTGTAGAGATGAAGCAATAAGTTTTTGTTGTGTTGAATTATTTGTTATTCGAATTAGGCTTTCATAAATAACTGGTTGAGGTCGAAAGCCCAATCCAACTATATAAGAGAAAAGAACTCAACATAAATATAAAATAATAATACAAATACAAACCAACAGCAGCTGTACTTCGTACAGCCATTGTACTTTCTGTATTATAATATCTTGGTTGAGTACGATCAAGTATAGCAGCAAAAACATAAGTTAAAGCAACAAAAAAACAACCCAAAAAGAAATAGAGTATTGTATAAAAAATCGATAATTTAACTAAAATATAAATAGATATATTATTATGATTGTTATATTTATCTTTTGAATTACCCCAATTACGAGCACTACGACCAAGTACTGTTTTTCGTCTTGAATTATACAAAAAATTTGCAAATGATTCTCTTGAATTTTGTGTTTTTTCTATATTTTTATCTAATAATTTATCAACATTTCTACTACTGTTTTGTAATTCTATATTAACATTAGTTGGTTCTATTGTAATATCACTTGATTGTATCTCTCTATTCGTCATTTTATCTAAAGCATGGCCTTTTCATTTTTCTATTAGATTAAAAAAAGAAAGGAAACCTTACGTTCTTTTTTTTTATACAAAAAAAGCTAATAGATCTATAGTATGAATGCATATATAAATGAATAAGAAGTAATGTCAGTACATATAAAAATGCTTTCAACCGTAACCATTCACTATACACTTTTTTTCTCACACTTGCAGGAGAACGGCAATCATGCTCTCACCATTTAATGCTTAACCATTAGAAGAAAGGAAATTTGTTTACGTAAACATACAAATATGAACATAAAAGCGAAAATAAAATATTGTTATACTACGAAAGAAAATCAAGTCTGTAAATAAGAAGATTTGTAAACACAAAACAATAGAAATAGAAAAAAACTGTTCAATTAAAGTTCGAATGTTTTTCTTGAGTGAATTATTTAGTTTTAGGAGCACTATTCTTTGATATCAATATATCAAATGTAACAACTCCACGACGTGTTGTACCTTGAGAAAATTGTTGAATATTTGGTGCCCAAGCACGACATATAACATTCACTTTCGTATCGAGTGGTAATGACGTAAATTGTACTAATACAAATGGTTCAACGTGTTCTTGTGTATTTCTGAAAGAATAATACATATATATCTATGCATAAAGAATAAAAAATAATTTTTCTAATTTATTTTACCTATAAGGAAAAAAATAATATGGTATGCCACCATAATATGGAATACCAGATGGATGTAAAATTGAATAATATATCATGTTACCAATTTTGTCTTTACCGTCTTTGTCTTTAATGTCTTTGTCTTTATCCTCACAAGTTATATAAATATTTTGTTCCTCTCTATCAACAGGTAATACTTGTTGACCTGTAGCATTGGCCATTTGATCGATGATATTACCAGCAGCTGGCATCCAATCATAAATCTTTAAAAATAAAAATTAATTCTCTATAATGACATTTTCAATCATCAGTGAGGATAGATTGAATTTGAAAAATTATTGTTACTTTATTTAGTTTAATAAGTACACACGGTTGACCAGTTGACCATCCATAGTTCTTTGAAGTAGAACAAGCATGTGCTATAGAAAAAAAATAAGCAAGTAACTATTTGAAAATATTTATATTTATACACAATACTTTCACTTGTAACAATATCATTCCAAGAAAATCGACATGAATGACTTAATTTAAGTTTTGAAGCCGGATTAAATGGGCTACATTCTTCTAAATATGTTGTATCATATTGTGTAAGAAATTCTATATAAAACAAAAAAATATACACGCATAATAATAATCATAAATGAATAATTTTATAAATATGATTACCAAATCGATAATTTGTCAAAGACGATGTTGTTGCAATTTGTGATGCTGAATCACCATAAACAGTAATTGATGTTGAAGTTATATCGGGCATTGGTCGGAAGCCCATACCTAGAAATAAAAACGATAGTTTGTTTTATTTCTTTGCTTCCTTTAGTTTTAATTAATACTAACCAACACACATTGTTCCACCAACTTTCATTTGACTATTATGGTATGAATATGTAGGTGATTCACGTGATACAATAGCAGCAAATACAGCAAGCATACCGGAATAGAATAAACCCGAACAAATATAGAAAATGGAATAATACACAGAGACTTTAATCCATGATGAACTTGTATTTCCACAAACTGTTTGATGTTCTTTATCATAAATAAAAATACGAAGTGATTTCATTAAATTAGTGAAACCAGTTTTGACACGAACCATAAATGGTTTTTTTTCTTCATTATTATTATCACTTGTATTTATTCGTTCTATTCCATTTGATTCATCTGGTTCAGGTGGCATGATTATAATTTTTATTTGTTAATAAAAATTGAAGAAAACAATTTCTTTTTGTATACACGTATGGCAATGAAAAAAAAGTAAATGAGTCGTTGATTTTGATAAAACACATAGAGAGAAAGAGAATTATGACGTCATAAGCAATCAACCATGACTGGCAATCATCGTTTTATAGTTATTTATCGACTATTAAAAGACAAAACATCACTATTATTTTACAGGCTTTCGAAGAGACACTTTTTAACTTATTTTTTTTTTGAAATTGAAAATTTTTAGAAACAGCGATACTTTATAATATGTGATAGCGAAATCTTTAATTATTCATAAAAGAAAAGAAATATATCGGTCTATCGCAGTTATATTTATTAATTATCTGACGATTTAAGAAATATTTAAGACTTCTAAGTAGATCTAGGTCTTATCAAACCAATTGTTAGAGACTGTCGAAAATTATATGGTCCATTGTTTTAGATCATTATTTAATATCCTCTTCAATCAATCAAATATGATATTTTTGTACTTTGTGCCAACAATAAACATATTTCTCAAGAATTTTCCGAGTGATAGATTTCATTTATGATTTATTCAAACACAATATACTTATAGAATGAATTTTTACAGAGCAAAGTAATAATAGTTGAGAGACTAGAGAACCGTGAGTTAACTGAAAATTTGTCTCATTCCGTTAAAAAATTTCTTTGAGAAACCACATTTTTTGACCAGTTTAAACCACCGTATTCTGAAAAATCGGATAATTTAGCTAGTTGAATATTGTAATCATATTTCTTCGTGTTGTATAGAGGTTAATATGATAATTGACGGAAACAAAAATGCTCGCTTAGTGTCATCTTATACGAAGACATGGGATTAAAATTGTATACTCATTTCGAACGTCAAGATACAATCGTACATGACGAAATACAATTGTTTCATGAGAATATAGAAATTTTGTATGTTTGATTCTGATTAATATAATTTATTTAACAGATCTTAGTTTATTCTTTGAACAAAAACAAAATCATTCGGACGCGAGGAAATACGCGAAATCTAGATATGTCTCAACAGCGTTTTTTTGTCGGAGCGAGACGGTGTATGACTGCGATTCACGCATCTCTATCAGAGGTCTAACTGCACATTTCGAGAGTCACTGCTCAATCGTATAAATTGTTAAAGTAAAAATGTTGCAGTTTTTTATCTCGTTATTACAAATATTTATCTATGTTGAACGTCGGTAACATATGAATTATCTAAATTGATTATATTGAAGCTAGAAAAGAAGAAGAATCTCAATATTAATTTCACTTTTATGTTATAATTAACGAAGTTGTGATGCTCAGATCTATCCAGCAGACATATATGTTAAGCTTACTGATAAATGTGGCTTATGTCTGTAAGTAATAACTAATTTTATATAGTGATTAATGAATAATATTGATCACATGATCATGCATTTTACTTCCTCCTTCCTTCCTTTCTTCCGAGTTTAGGTGCTACTGGGAGGTGACAATTGATGAAACTACGATAGAATGAATTGATAATGAATGAAAGTCCACCATTGGATTGACTAAATAATAGACACGAAATAGAAAATGATACTAAATGAGAGATGAGAAAGAACAGAGAACAAGAAAAATACTAATTAAATGACATAGTCAAGAAGAGAATTATAACAACGAAAAAAGTGTGTATACCTGATGAAAAATAATAAATAAAAGAAGCAATAGTAACTAATGAAAAACAAATAATAATATAGAAAACAAAGAAATCCTTATAAATATGGATAAAAAATGTACAGACAACAAGAAGAGAGAAAACATAGGCAATGATTAATAGTAACACGCACTCTCTCTCTCTTATGATAATTAGTCATATTTTAGGATCCCTCCTCCTTCTTGATCATATGACTTTTGAACAAATTCGTATATGAAATAGAAGAAAAGTCAATTTTTTTTTATTAGATATTCGTTAATAAATCTAGTAAAATAACCCTATTTTAAATCGAAACTAACCTTCTATTAGAAAATATCGATATAGTTAATAATCGCTTGTCAAAAATAAGATGTTACAATATTAACTGGTGATTTTTATTTACAATTTGAAGCGATGATCTCATGAATGTGATGAGTAAGAATTACAAGCATCTTATCAACAGATTAAATTATTAATATTGAAAATTGTTTACTTCCATAAAGTCAATAAATATACATCAATTCATAGTAAATGTTCATATTTCTGAATTTAAAACAATTAACAGTTGCAACTAAATTGACTCCTGCTTGATAAATTAAAAGTTAAAACAAAAGTTTACAAAAGTCAATCATTAGTATATTATTCATGTATCTTAGGCATCATAGATAATGATTCTTTTCTAGTTACGAGAGACGGCATGTTAACAGTCTGATGTAGAACTTTGACACATTCTTTATTTCTTTCAATTGATTAAGTAAATTCAATAATTATGACAATAGAAAACTAATAAGGTATTTACACTCGTTTTGTTAGATCTTGAAATGAATAAAACTACAATAATAAATGAAAATGACTTAAAAATAGACTTCTCAATGTTAAAGTATCTACTATGCTACATTCTTTAATTTTAAGGTACAACCTTATACAGTGTTTTTATCAAAATTTTTGATGAATATATGGATGCTCTAAAATATTCGTCACAAGTTCATGATCAGATACATTTATTGTTACACAAAAATATACTCATCAGAATAAAAGAAATATTTGTTCATTTACATTTATTACATAGAATAGAACAGTTTAAATATTTTTTATGAATGTTTTTTTTTTCTACCTTTTTCTTTCAGACNATCATGAACTTGTGACGAATATTTTAGAGCATCCATATATTCATCAAAAATTTTGATAAAAACACTGTATAAGGTTGTACCTTAAAATTAAAGAACAAATAATTCATCATCGTTGGCCATTTTGTCCAATTTATTTATTACATATTAATACATATTGTCATATTGATCATTTTGCTATACCAGCTGAAATAGCTCTTGTTGAAACAACATTTTGGCCACAATTATATGGAAGTAAAATAGATGTACAATCAATGAATATATCAAAAAAAATTAATGAACATTATGAACGTCATTCAAATTTATATAAACGTTTATGTTTAATTACGGATGATTTTCATGATTTTGTTCATCCAGGTGATCAATTACCAACTGGTTATCAAGCAGATATTCTTGAACATTCAAGACGAACTCATGGTTTGAAAATGTTTTATTTATTTATTTTTTGCTGTGATTGTTTCATCAAAACAAGTGGTTTCGATATAGAAAAACAGAAAAAAGATATGAACATTTTTATTTGATTTGTACAGTCGCTTCCTTCTCAAAATATTACCTTAATTAAAGATTATATTACTAATGTAAATATCTTCATCATTGTAATAATACAGACTGTAGTTAATTATAAAGCATAGTCTAAATGATAGATAATTTCAATTTAATTTGCTAGGAAACTATTATTTTATATAATAAAAAAGACGATCATGTCTTTCAGTGTTTGATTTATAAATTATTCTTTGAGTGTGTCGGTTTTTTAATCTGTTTTATGATGATGAACACAAAATCATTGGAATAATATTAAGTCAAAATATAAGGATGCTTTTTACACTAGTAAATTCATATGAAAATTCCTACGAATAGATATTCATCTTTTAGTTTTTGAAGAAAATCACAATTTTAACGATTGAATTTTCGATGAGAAAAATAATATTTGTATTTGTTTTTTTTAAATCAACGATAAATAATAAATTCGATTGTTTTGTTTTTTTCTCACAATATTTATTTTTAATTCATTTTAGGTTTACCATGTACACCATATGAAAAAATTGGTACACAAGATTATAATCAATTATTAGATGATTTAAATGAAATGCTTCGTTCATTATGTGATTTTCGTAATAAAATTCATAATGAAGCAATGCCAATGTTTTGTACAATGGAATCATTTTGGTCAACAAAAGCTGCACTTGATTGGCTTTATGATCAACCATCAACACGAGATCGAATTGATGATTATACATTATATCCTATTGAATCATTAATTGCTGTTATTTATGAAAATTTCTATAATCAAGTTCAATTTAAATGTGATCTTGGTGTATTAATGGGGTTAATATTTTAATCAATTGAAATAATAACACAATAATGATGATATCTTCTTTTTTTTTCTCTTCAGCAAAACTCCACAACAACCTGTACTTAATTCTCGTGCATGTGATTATCATGCTATACTTGAGAATAAATATTGTGCTATGGCTCATGTAAGTTGATCTATTGGTTTACTATGATTACTTTTGTTTTTTTTTTTTATCAAAACACAAAAAAATAGGTTCGTGATTTAGCAAAATATTATATTTCGT